TTCAATGGTTAAAAACAGACTGTAGAAATTTTCTCCTTTTAAAATGCTACGCCGTAAATTCTGTAAAAAATTATTGCCATAGAAATTTTTCTTGAACACCTGACCATTTTTGGGAATTTTTTTTTTTCGAAAACCTCGCTGCCAAAACTGAGGTCGAGAGTTCCATTGAAAAACAATCTGAAAGAATCTTGCCTGCAGAAGCAGCTACGCATTAATTTTTGTAGAGAAACCAATATAAACTTGAAAATAGTCAGATGTTTTATTTCTCTCGTAAATTACCCTCCCAATATTGAGATTGAGGAGCCAATCGAATATATAAATTGTATGGTTTTTTAGGGCAGAAGTAACAGCTCTTTAATTTTTGAAGAAAACAGTAATATATTTGAAAAAAAAATCTGTTTTTCCGAATTTTTTTTTCGTTCGTGGAAATTATTCCATTTTTCTTGAAATCCAACCTGCTAACTCTAAGATTAAAAGTTTAGCCAAGGAAAAGTTGTTTCTAGGAATCATTCATGATGAAGCGGCTACGCCCTAATTGTTGCAAAAAATGTTATAGATTTCGAAAAATCAATAGTTGACAATTTGAGTTTTTATTGATTATCTTGGCAGGCGTGGCTACGCTCTAATTTTTATCACAAAAGGTTATTGACTGGGGAAAGTCAATATTTAGGGTTTGGTCATTTTTCGAAAAGTTCTTCACTTTCCTAGAAAACCATTCGGCCACTTCGGAGGAGAAAGGTTCATGTGGAAGACCATGTTACTAGGATTTTTTTCTACATAAGCGGTTACGCTTTGGTTTTTTTTGTAGAAAACAGTTATGGCTTCGGAAAATTTCCACTTTTAGAAAATTTTATCGTTTTTTGATTTTTTGGTTTTTTTTTATAAATTAATAGAGGAAATTGTTTCTGCAAAAAAAACTTCGCCAATTTTTTCTAGAATAATTGAAGAGGACTTCAGAAAAAAGTCAAATGTTTGATATTTTAATCAATTATTTTAAACTTTACCAAGGTTTTCGATAAGTACTGCAAGTTCCGAGGTAAGGGGTGCAACCGGGAAAACAGGTTGCAGTGATCTCGTCTGCAGAACTGCTTTTGCTCTAGTACTTTTTTCAAATTAGGCTGTTTTTCAACGTTTTTCCTACCTTCTCATAAACTACAAATCTGACCAATATTTTATCAGAAGGAAAGATTGCGAGAATCATTCCTGCATTAACGCCTACCTCCTTTTTTGTAGAAAAAAAAAAGAATTTTTTGAACTCAAAAAAATTTCCAACGCAGGGCAGGTTGAAGGAATTCTTCATGCATAAACGGCTACGCCCTTATGTTTGGAGACTACGTCCGTTTTGAAATTTTTAGAATGTTTTATGAAATTTTTACTCTCTCAAAAATTACTCTGCCAATTCTGAACTCAACCAAAGATTACTCTGCCACTCCTGAAATCACAATAACTATATGTACTAGAGACTCTCCTGCATAAGTGGCTGCACCAAATGATATGGACTTGGCAAAGTCCAGTTCTTGAAAAATTGTTCTCGAAAACTTTTTCGTTTCGCCAAAAAATTACCATGCCAAATCTAAGATTAAAAGCTCAATCGAAATAACACGTTGAGTGATCTTTTCTTTTTCCGGCAGAATCACTTAGCCCTAATTGTTGTGAAAAATGTTATAGCTTTGCAAAAAGTCTTATTAATGAAAAATTCACCGTTTTAGGAAACTATTTCATTTTTTATCGAACACTACCCAGCCCTTTTAATCGAACACTACTCGGCCGATCAGATTGAGAACTCAATTGTTTGACAGATAGTAAACATCTTTCCTACATCAGCTCTTACTCAATTATTTTGGTAGATAAACCGCTCCGGTTTTGCTAAAAGTATAATTTCTGAAGTTTCGAAAAAAAACACTTCCTCTTGCATCAGTACATATTCTATGAAAGTATCAAAGTACCTCCAAATTTACCATGGCCATAAGTTACAGTAAAAAACACTAAAACTCTATTAAAAAATTTTTGTACCAACCGGATTTGAATCTAACGTCTTTGCTTTCACAGGTGTAGACGTTACAGCAAGGTCAAGTTTACTTGAAGTTAAGAAATTTGGATGTGTTACAAATCAAGCTATTAAATGATTCACGTGATTTCGTTAACGAAATTGTTATTATAAACACAGAGGCGAAGGTGATCCTCGCAAGTACATGCGAAAAAGCGACAAAAAGTAGCTCTTAAAAGGTCAATCGCTAAACAATGAAAGAAAAGAAAAAACTATGAGACGAAAACCACTCCTAGGTTCCGGGGTTGGACCCTTGATCTCGAGATTAGGAATCACCCGTCCTAGCGACCTCGCCATGGTCAATTCACAGTTTTCAAACAAAAGCAACCAAAAAACAATTAAGTTATGATGTTAGGGCAGCAAAAAAAAACAGATTAGGGGTTCAGTCGCAGCTGGAGGTAACTGATTGATAACTTGAAATGAACTGATGCGAAATGTTAACTGATGCGCAGTTTTCAAAACGTTTATAATTGAAAAGTTCTAGGCTGGTTATTTATACAAAAAAAATGCTAAAAAGTTTTAGCGAGGGAAATCATTAAGCAATCTCCTTTTGATTGATTTCTTATCCTCAAAACTGGCATTTTGAAGAATTTGAGGAAGGGCTACAAAATGGATCAAAATGTCTCTTATTGGATGTGTCCCTTATTGTATGCACAGATTCCTTGTCAGAGTTAGTAGAATTAGCCTATGCACTGATTCGTTGCAATGATTCTTTGATTTGCTCCTTGCAATGAACCCTTACTTGTACAGTTGTCACGGTAGTTTTCGAGAAAATCAGAACTTTCACTATTTCGGAAAAATAATCTTTTGGGTTCAAAGTTGTTTCTCTAAAATAATGAGGCCTAGACGTTTTAACAGCAAAATTTCATAGCACGTGTTGCTTTGGTTGAACTCAACTCGGTAAGTTAATTTTTGAGAACAATCTAAAAGTTCTCAAAAAACAGGCAAAATTTCAGAACTTAGGAGTTTTCTAAAGCCACAAAAATGTTCCATCAAAAACTAGGGCACAAATTTTTGTGCAGAGAAATCTAGCACAACTTGTTCCTTTGATTTGATTTGCAGGCGTGGCTTTCGAAAAAGTCAAATTTCCAAAAAAAACTAGCAGATCTTCAAAACTATTTTGTACAAAAAAATTTTCTACCGAATTTAAGGCAACGCAGCTAGATAAAAAAACATGCGCAACCAATTATTTTTTGTACCCTTATTAACAGCTTTGGCTGGGTATTTTTGAGAGAAGTCAAAACGTTTCCAAATAACAAGAAAACCTCAAAAACTTGAGATTTTCTATGGCTAAAATTTGAAAAAATGGTCAAGTTGTCAAATATTTCACATCGTAACTCAATTGCTGATAGCTTTCCAAAATTATTTTTCGAGAAAAAGAAAAGATTTTCCACGGAAATAGAGGCGTAAAAATAAGAAAAAAAATTGCGCACTACTTAATTTCAGCCCTTTTTCACAAATTTGGCACGATAATTCCCAACAAAAATTTTTGATAAATGTCAAAATATCAAAAAGTAGATTATTCCAAGTGAGTCATTTTCTATATCTTTTTTTGCGAAAATAAAGGAACAGACGTTTTCATTCATGCAAGGAAGACTCCTAACACCGTTTCTTGCTATTGAAATTTTGATCATTTTTTTTTCGGTTCAGTAGATTTCGAGACTAAATTATTTTCGAAGAAACGATCAACGGTTCAAGTTTGGGGCTTTTCTAAGGTCATAAATATAGTCTAAAAAAACCAGGCGTAGCAATTTATGAGATACTAATAAGATTCTAAAATCATGTTTTTGTTAGAAGCCTTTGATGATTTCAGATTTGCTGGGGTAGTTTTTGAGAAACTGAATTAATTTTTTGCGGCAAATGCATATTGATTCTTAGAGCACTAAAATTGCACTCTATAGTTGCCCAGTAGAGGATTGCCGTGAATATCAAAAAACCGACAGTCAATCTTTTAAAAATTGAAGTTAAGCCCCAACGAATTTATGATAATGCCTTGAACGAAAATCTGGGTCATTAGGTAATATTTTCATTCGGCTAGGAATGAGAAAATTCGAGTCCATTTTCGAAACTAGAAATCATTCTGTGAACTTAACACATTGGCTTTTCGGTAGTGAAGTTTACCGTATAATTGAAAATCACTTCGTTCTTTGACACTTAAATGTCCAATACGTAGCTCGCATAATATTGTCAACCAAAGTGTATTTATATGCCGGCTAAAAAAAAGGACATCTAGGGAAACAAAGGACATGTAGGGGAACAAAAAACAGTCAGCCAAAAATATCAATATTCGAAACTTGCCAAATAACCCGAAAGCTGAAGCCATAGAACTACGATGGACAAATCTGAGAGGGGCGTTCAACAGTGCCGAAAAAGGCGGGGAAATTTTCAGAATTATTTACACGCATTTTCTAAAGAGCGGGAAATTACTGACGCTAATTATCGAAGAAAATCACTCCAATTTCGGCGCCAAAATGTCTGCAACAGCAAATTAAACAATTATTTTGGCGCCAAAACTTCTAAATTGCAAACTTTCTCTCCCAAATTCTTTGAGTGCCACTTAAGATTGTAAACGATCGCTGTTTAATTTTTGATTGCCGCGCTTAATACGTTGAATTTGTTCAAATCAAATTTTCGGCACTGTTGAACAAAGTTTTTATTTTCGGCACTGTTGAACAAAGTTTTCATTTCGGCACTCTTGTACTTCGGCACTTTTGTACTGCCCCATCTGAGATATTGCCTCTACATCAACTTTACGCCTTAATTTCTTTTCAGCAACAAACAATGCCTTCTCGTGTGCAAAATCTGTGAACTTAGAAAGGGTAAAGAGTGTAGCCCGATCGCAATACACTTGCTCTCGCAAGCGTAGAAATAAATACTACAAGAACTAAAACACATGAATTGTTTAAAAGTTCCATGCTGCCTAGCTGCATGTAGTCTCCCAGAGAATCAAAACCAAGAGAATCAAAAATGAAATTCCGAGCTTTTCGAATAAGACTTATGAACAAGTTTAAAGTTTTAAACTAATAACTACGTCAACCGCATCTTCTACTCCGAGGAGTTGAGCAGGCCGGGTCCTCCGAGCGACTTCGAATCTATGAATCAGAGTTGTTCAACGAGTCGCCTGATTGCTGTTGCTGCTGCTGCTATTGGGCTGGTAACTCATCACTGACTTGCGTCTTGAGAACTTGGGGAATAATTTGGGGCCTTTTCTGTTGCGTTGCGTGCGTGCCGCTTTCTCTCTGTGTAGATGGTACTCTGTAAGTCGACTGTTGAAACGAGTCACTTCAAAAGGACTTCTGTTTTGCAGAAAGCGATTGAACAACATTGTGTCTGTGAAGTCGCGAAGGAAGGGACGAAGTTCTTTGGATCTTGTCTGAATGTAGCTGTTGCGCTGCAGCAAACAAAAAATAAGATCACACAATGAATTGTAACAGGTATTCAGTATCCCAATTTTTCGTCACAAAATTTTACACAGTGGCAAAGCAGAGCTTCGTACCACTACGATACAACAAACAAAGCTGGCAAACCAGCCGGCGGGAGATAAGACGAAAGCCACAATAAAATTGCGAAAACGTCCAAAAAGTAGATCGACCAGATTTTTGAAAAAACTCCAACTTTCGAATTTCAAACGAAAACATAGCCAACAGACACTTGGAAAAAGTCAATAAAATGGCCTTAAAGCTCTTTGAATTTTTAAATTTCTGGAACAATTAATGATTGACACTTTTTTGATACGCTTAACCCAATTTGAGAAAACTGGATCAATTGGTAAGATTTTTTACTTCCCTGGCAAGTCTAATAATTAAATGTCATGTTCGATTAAATGACAAATTAGAAGTCATTCACGTTTTAGTGACCTTTACACTTTCCCTGTTTGATAGTGGAGTTTGCCTTCTTTTTAACAAAAAAAAAATGAGCTGAAATTTCGAAAAAAAAAATCAAAAGTCAAATTTCAAAAAGCCTGAACAAATTTTGACATATCCTGGAAAAAAAATCATCGCAATCTATACAAGAGTCTTAACTACCTTCATCGAGCCTTAAAAATATATGGACTTGAACATTTGTATTTCAAGAGCAATTTATAATTGGCACTAATTGATAAAAGTAACCAAATTTGAAGAAAAAAACTGGATTAAAAGGAATACCTCGAAATACCTAGAAATTAAATTTCACTTTCAAAACTGGAAATCAATCAACTTTTTGCGCCTTTGCAGCTTTCATAATATGAGAGTGCATTTTATTTACCTTCTAGCTAATTAACTTAAATTGAACTCAAAAATGCATATATATATGTATGGATGCACTTTTATCGCCATTAGACCATTTTAAGACTTTTCCTGAAAATAGACAAAAAAGCCATCACGAACTCAATAAGACTCTGAACTACGTTCATCGACTCCAAAACACTTATATTATTATTGCAAAATTTACACAGAGGCGAAGTTGCACTTCGCATACACAAGCAAATATATTACCGATAACGCTACTGGGAAAAACTGAATGAGTAAAACTTTGAGTCAACAAACTTTCTTACATGACGCGCGCAAATTATGAGTTTACATAACTGCTATGTGACGCACGCCAATTATGAGTCTACATAATTGCAAAGTGACGCAAGCCAATTATGACACATTAGCAGTACCAGTCAATTTGAAAAAAAAATTTACCAATTAACATGCCTCAATATATAGAGCAGACGCATTTTAGATAGTATACGAAAAAGTTTAATAAAAACATCCAACCCTGCCCAGGTTCGAACCCTCTTATTTTGTTGCTGGTCTCCTTCCCTACCTCTACGCTACAGATCCATGATACCTTGAAGTCGAAGTGTTATTTGTAATATAATAGTATGTATTAATATCCTTAGCATTGGCTGTACTTAATAGCTGGTTATTGATCAAAATGAACACATTTTGTCGCAACAATATTTGCGACCTAAATTGAAAAAAAAGAGTTCATACTATTACACAAGCTTTGCTTGTGTAAACACTGCAAACAATGTTCAAAATTTACGAGCTATGAGTCCACGAAACTTATTAAATCAAAATTGCCATTTTTAGGCACAGGTTTCACTTGAGTATACACACAGAGGCGAATCTGAGCGTCTCAAACAGAAGCGACAAAAAACGACAAAAAGCAGCTTTATAAAGTGAAATAAGAAAGTAGAAATAAGCCTCGAATTAGTAAAACTTTTGCCACGTGCTATCAAATGAGCCGTTTATTTGCGAATTGGGTTGGAAAAAAGTAGAGCCATACTTATACACTGCCTTCGCTAGTGTTAAGATGTGTATCACGGCGGTGAGGGTTAGATGAATAAATGATTATCGGCGTACCATGAAGAGAGGTCCGTCTGGGCGGGTGGGGTCATACTCTACATGCGCGTCCACTTGATAGAGTAGCTGGACAAAGAAGTGGAGAAAGCACTCTGAGATGTACTCTCCAGTCCCCGTGGTAGCTAAACACGAACAGACATGCAACCACTCAGTGAACAGACAAGAAATATTATCACAATACTATCAAATTATGTAGTTTTATGACAGTTGGAAGAAAGCAGTATCAAAGAACTAACCTTTTTATTAACTAGCATCTTTATTGTTATTATTATCGCAAGGGTAATTATTATTATTAATGAAAAAATTATTGGCAGTGTTGTGTTGTGTGTTACCTATGTCGACGGTGTGGGTCTTCTGCAGACTCTTGCGGTCGAACACTAGTCGCTTGAGGGAAGTGAAATACCTTTCAGGCAACAACTTCTTCTCATCCCCACACTAAAAAAATAAACTGTCGTAAAATAAATACTGTCAGTTTAGAAAACTGACAAATAATTCATTCGATGTGTTAAAATTTGAATAGAAAATTCATTATCGAAGCTAAAATGACATGTTTTGATTAATTGAGTATTATTCGATACACTGTATACACAGAACACTACAACTCCAAATTTTCAACCCGTCTCACCCAACTGGACTTACCGACTTGACGAAAGATGCCCTGTTGTCCAAATCCACGATCAGCACCTGATCATACTCTGAGACGTCGGGTCTTAACTTGGAATCCTGTGGTACCAGAGATCCAATTAGAAAGGGAGTTGGACAGGTAGCCAGGTCACAGCCAAGGTCCATGCTAGAAATAGACGTAGAAATGAATCGATTACAGAAAAACAGCACATCCAAAACAATTCGAATCAGACTTTTCTGAAAAAATTATACGTTCAAAAATTTTATGAAACATTTGTGTTTGTTTTACAAATTTGAACATTTTTCAGCTCTATACTCCAATACATTATTTTGAAAATTTTCCTGGTAATTTTCCTGGTAATTTTATAAATTTGATTCGATGAATATTGCAAGGAAAATAGTCTACAAAAAACACGTATCAGTGTCACGAAATCACCATTTACTGAATTTTCTTGAACATTTAATTAGGTTAGCTCAACGCGAAGTCAACGCAAGGAATGACGGTGGATTTCGCTGCAACGGCGGTACATGAGTCGAACAAAAAGGGTATCTTTTTAGAAAGCAGCAGACCTGGTCATGGGCACAAACACATGTTCCCATTTGAATGGATACAAGAGTGCGTGTAGTGCCATCGCGCATGAGGAGAGCACATTCAACTTGGAGCTCCACAGCCACACTTTCCTCTCCAGCAGGAGAGAGGCGAACACCATCACTAGATTTTTCGCCTCCATGTATAGAGGCAGGCAGTGTAGGTTCACGTGTTCGTACAGCGTGTCCTGAAAAAGGGGATGGTTGTTTTGTTCATCTGAAGATTAAGATCAACTGCACATAAAGAAACAAAACCACCAGGTCCTTCGAAATATCTCCTTGTTTAGAGCAAAAGTAAAACCACTAAAAAGCAAATTTGAGCGTAAGTTCCCAACAAAAAACGAAATAAAAAATCATCACGACCTATACAAGAGTCTGAACTAGGTTCATCGACTCTTAGAAAGGCTCTGGTCAGTTGTGTTTCTTAGCCTTGAAGGTGTTGTGTTCCTCATACCTTGTAGCTCCTGGTGATCTCCAATGTAGTCTCCCCCTCCCGCATGTGTGGATGTCTGATGTAGAAGGGATACTTGACCTTGATGCTGTTTCCGGGCGAGGGGGTCGCACACTCGTAGAGGGACTGCAAGAAGGTGAAGATGTGGATCTCTTTCTTAAGTGTCTTCAACTCGCTACAGATCTACAAACAATTATATATTTCTGATCTTTTATGTCAACTAAGTTTTTTCGACGTCAGGCTTCGCACAAACATGGCTATTATGATTGGAAGGGTTACAATTCGTAACAGGCGACAATTCGTAGCAAGCGGCAATTCGTAACAAGGCATTGGCAAGTAAAAAAAGCTTGCTCCGCTTCGCTTTCATTCGGCACAAGAGGAATAGTGCGCATAAATTACTATTTGCCCCTTAAATTTTTGTTACGAATTGTCGCTTGTTATCAATTTTCGCATGTTACGGATTGTTGCCTGTTACGAACTTCCGCTTCAAGATTATGATTCATAATTAATGAAAAAACATTTTTAACACAGAGGCGAAGCTGAGCTTCGCACCACTTGCGATACAACTAGATCTAAAAAAATGAATGAAAATAGTTGTGACGAAACATGCCCGAACAATAGAATGCAAAATTAGCATCGGAACAAAATTAACCAAGCGGTGATTAACATCTTAGCCGAAACTCTTCAAGCCGAAACTTTTTCTTTTCATTCAAAACTAATTAATAATTTTTACGTCCCTCTTCCCCACATAACGCACACAGGTTCACAAAAACTTTTTTTGTACATCTAACGACGCAACAGGAGGCTTCTAAGCCGATATAAAACACGCCGAAACCTATTAAGCCAAAAAAAAACAAAGTAATTTCAACAAATCGAGCAGTAAAAGCGCAACTCACTTAAGAAATGCGGAGGGGAACGTAAAATTGTGTTTCCCTTGAAATGACCCACAACTAGGTCACTAAGCCGATAAAAAATATGCCGGAATAATTTGGGCAAAAAATATTTTAAATTCCAGTAAACCAAAACTGTAGGGGCAAAATTAATGAAAATTGCTTGCAGCAGTCAAAACGATTCTAAGACGTGGGAACTAAGCCGATAAAAAATAAGAAGACATGAGGCCGAAAATTTTTTTAAACATTTCTCGTTTATAAAAAAACAGGTCCTGCTCAGATTCATACTACGGCCCTTTGCGTCCCAGGCGTACTCGTTACCTCCACGCTACAAGAGCCGCAAACCCTAACAAATTTGAATTAATAATGAAACACTAGAGATGAGTCCAGAAGCACAGATGAGATGAGTCATGTGAGCAAAATTATTTACGGGAAAAAGTCTAATACCCGATTGCAATACCCTTGCTTAAATGTTCATATCTAGGAATAAAGTTTCAAATGCTTCAAGAGAAAAATGAGGGGATTTCAGTCGATGCGGAAAAATCGTGTTACCAATTTTAACCTGCTTTGAAGCTGATGTACGTACTCTTAACACCCGAAATAGCGTCGCTGTGGATAATTCAGCGCAAAATTTTGCTATTTTGTAGAAAAAAATTTCTTATTACTTACCTTATCGAACAATTCGAAACAGCGCTGCTGACTGATGATACAATACACAGTCGGTAAATCTTCATCGTGCAGTTTAGACATACCACTAGTCGCACTTTGCGTACTCGTAGCCGACACAACCGAAACTCTTCCACTTTTATTAGGAGAACCCAGCGCATCATCAGGCCAAATGCGACGACAGTATCCAAACATCTGAGCTCCTTTGTCATCCGTGAATATGAAAGAGTAAGTTTCGTCGAGTTCGGTCTGCTTCGGGGGTTCGGAACCCCCTGCGTCTGGGAAGCAGAAATTGGGCACGTGGGCAAAAAATGGACGCTCTTTAGGGTCTATGATGTCTTTGTGAGGATATGATGTGATTGTTACTGGACTATACTGCACTCCTCCGCCTGAAAAGATTCGAGGACTGTATAAACACGGAGCCAAAGTTTGCCAGCATAGCAAAAAAAAGTGCAACAGGGGGCTTTAAAACTGCAAAAATACAATCATCGGTGAAAAAGCTATGAAAAATGAAAATATTATGAATCATTTGTCTTCCTAGCTCAGCCAACTGTCGTAGCTGTCTCTAAGAGGTTACAAATTATCCTATGATTAAAAACGGATAAAATATTTCTACTACAAATTACCAATTAAAAAAAGCGAAAAAAGTTAAGTGACTTAGGGTTTGAAAAAAGAGAAGCCGTATTCTAAAACAGACGCTTGTGTGAGTAAACAATCAATTAAAAAGTAAGTAAATAAACTCGGAGAAACGATGGTAGAAATTCAATCAAATGCCAACCCTGCTCTTTGCAATAAAACATATTTTGTAGTTTATCTTTTTTCGCTGGCTTTCTTTCAGAAGGTTATATTCGAAAGTGTAAAACAGATTTCTTAGCTCATCTGATTCCAACCTTCAATTTGTCTCGTTTTGAGTCCCACATGTAATGCCACAATCATGATTCGCTCGTCTTCGGACTGCACGCTCTGGATTCTGTTCATGTCACTGGTTGATGCTACAGACGATACGCTGTTGTTACCGCCCTGGTCCTGATATATAAATAGAACATTTTCTCAAAGTTCTCAAAGAAAAAAAATTGTAAATGTTTTTTTTTATAGAAAACTAGCATCCAAGAAACTGCACAGATTGAAATTCTATCGCCATCATGAGCAATATATTACTTACATGGAAAATTACCTCGTGCAATAGGTGTCGCAAAGAGCAACTTTTGTCTCAATAAAAATGAATATTGATTGAAAAAGAACTCGCTTCCTCCCATTACAATACCCAATCAACGAACCAAAAAAGAAAACCGTAACTTATTTAAATTACGTCGGAGTTCTAGTTTGTTGGGGAATATCAATAAATTTTCGCAAAACAAATTGTTGAATCATACCCTTTTAGCAAGACTGCCAATTATAAATTACAAAAAAACATAGAAAAGCAACTTAATTAAAGTTAAAACCAAAAAAAAATAGATTTGAATAATGTCCAACTTTCAGATGAAAAAATATCACGTTGAAGCGTTTCAACTTTTGCATTCTTTTGTTGACACCCTTTTGATATAACTAGAGAACACTGGAGCAACAGTAATTTTAAATTGCGTTGGGAAATCTAAATATTCAACTCATTTGAAACAAAAATTCATTTACAATTTTTGCACCATTTGAAAATTTGTCAATGGAGAGCACACTTTCCATCTCGTTTAGCAATTGAAAATCAAAGTGGACTTTAAAAAAAAGAGAGACTCAGAAGTCAAACCGAGAAAAATCAAATTTGAATGTTAACTACTTTTCAGATTTTCTCTTTAAAAACGAGAAAACATTATCTATATAAAATTCTTCACTGCAATCGTCGAAAATTACACTTAAAAACATAGCCAACAGACTATTGGAAAAATGTCAAAGAACGCAAGAAAACTTACTTGTTTTCATGTCTCAGCTGTCGACTTTCTATGAAAAAACTGGATCGCCATAGAGCTCTTTGAATTTCTAGAATAATTTATGGTTAACACTTATGTGATAAAATAAACCCAATTTGAGAAAACTAGATCATTTTTTTTAATTTTAATTTCGCTGGGAAATCTGATAAAATTCCATTTTTGAATCTAGAAGTCAATCACGTTCATCGTGGCCTTTACACTTTCGCTGTCCGATAGTGCCGTGAACTGAAATTAAAAAGAAACTGACACTAAGCGCGAAATAAGTAAATTTGAGCCTGAACAAATTTTCCTTAAAAAAAATCATGACATATATAAGAGTCTTAACTACGTCCATCAACTCCAACAAATAGCCAATCAAAGATTTTAAAATGTAATGAACGCAAGTAAACAAAAGAAAACTGATTTTCTTGAAAAAATCTCAAAGTTCGAATTTCAAAGAAAAAAATAGATGCCCTTTAAGCTCTTTGAATTTCTAGAAAAATTTATGACCGGCGCTTTTTTGAAAACATGAACCCAACTTGAGAAAACTGGATCAATAGGTAAAGTTTCTATTCCGCTGGGAAACCTTAAATTTTAAAAAAAAAATTCCACTTTCGAAACTAGAAATCGTTCACGTTTTTTCGCGCCATTTCCACGTTCGTATTCGGAGAGTGCTAGTTACGTTTGCAGATGAATTGTAATTGAACTCAAAAAATGCATTATACCTAAGAGCATCAATATTTTAAGACTTTTTCCTAAAACAAAAAAAATCAACAAGACCTATATAAGAGTCTTCACAACATTTCATTACTCTTAATAAATTTTGAGAGATAGGCATCAAAATTTCTTTAATGACTATGAAAAAATACCTGATTTAAGGAGAGCGCACTATCTCTCCCAACCGACTGTGAGTCACATGCCGCTTCGTTGTCAAATGCTCCCGACCGCTGCCGAATACCACCTCGAGTATTCGTCAATTTCCCTTTCTCGAGACTTGCATTCTGAATTCCATCCGGTTCGTCCAGCGAATCAAGATCCTTGTGATCAACCCTTTCCAGCCCTGAAGTAAATTTAACATTTGCAGGCGATGATGATTTCAATTCTTCCTTGTCAATAAATTCGGCATCGGAGTAGTCGGATTTGAAATCACTTGTATCGTCGATATTGATATGGTAAACGTTCAACACTGTGACCGATCCATAAGTTGATATTCTTTTCCTACGATTTACGCCACATGAAAACTTTCTTTTGCTGCAACTTCGCCATTTATTTTTTCCCATGCTGGTTAATAAAATTATGACTAATTATGTCAACTGGTTCATCTGAATTAGGTGCATTGAGCATGCCAGTACCCTATCAGTTCGACTTTTTCTTGTCATAAAATTTGTTACTGCATAAATTGATGAATATGGTTGTCTTACTTGGTACAAAATCAATAGATCAAGCAAACAATGGTCTTGGTAGCTTCTAATAATATATCAACAATCTTTGCGGTTGCTTCAATTACTCTTGCTTGGATAAATCGAAAACCAAGAACAAGTTCGATCATCTTCACTTTTCACACAAAACAGAATAATTGAAAACATCAGGAAAACATCTGTTGGCATCTATTTATCGAGCATTTTGTAAACTGAATTTTTTCAAATTCTGAAAAAAGCTTCCCGAGCAATCCCCGGAAAAGTTTCTCCAAATAAGAAATTTTGATTTTTCAAAAAAAAATTCTGCAAAAAACAAAAAAAAGGCGCGAGCAAACATTGGAGTTAACAAAAATGCCTAGCCCTTTTCAAGTTTAAATTAACTTCCTTCATTTAACAAAATCGCAACGATTTTTCCACTCACCTTCGCTTGATGTCTCGTTTGCTGAGTCACAATTCAGATCCTCCAAACTCTTCGCCACTCCAAACATATGGTATATCTTGTCACGCACCTGAAAGCCACACGAGCAACAAATTACACCAACTCAAAAGGCAGGAGTAAACTCAACTAGCTAACATTCACAAATCACAATAGAATAAGCGCAGAGATAATGTTCATTTTGTTCATGGATTCGCAAATAGAGATCAGGAACAAACATAAGTAAAATTTAGAGCCAAAATACACATGAAACTGTGTGCCTCTTGGTCAAAAGGACCACTTGGCAATCATATTCATAGCAAGCTAACATAATATAAAATCCCAATCACGAAAAAAGAAAAATTGTAGTTTCTGTTTCGAGTTTATAATTTTGGAGAAGGATATTCCATAAGATCCTAGAGTTTTTGTAACCTAAGATCCCATAGCTTAAAACTGGCATGGTTGAAACTAGCAGATCCCATAGCTTGAAATGAGTACATGTATCCGTCCATTTCCATTTATCCTTGAATGAAAATTGGATCTACCATTTTATAAATGAAAACAGAAATTATAACAACTCTCACCCGTTCGTCTAACGAAGAATTGAGTCGGTCTGAGGAATCTGAAGTGCCAGCTGAGTTCAGACTCTCTGCGTCTAACTTCCCTTCAATCGCCTCTTTTCCCATCACTCTATTGGGTAAAATCTGGATTCTATTCACCATCTGTTGATATTTGTTCATCATCTGCCCTTGTCTTGATTGGGATGTTAAGACACTTGAGTTTGGTCTCGAGGCACTTGTGGTGTCTTTTGTTAGCGGATGGAAGACTAGGTTTTGATTCAGATTCGCACCCACGGCTTTCGCGTTCGAACTGAAACAAACACGAATTTGTTGGATTAGTAGTCATAAACCCGATTATTAACCAATGTGTAGTTTCAAAATGATAGCAGTGAAACACGAACTAGTTCAATGGTCTAAAAAAAGTTCAGCCAAGTGTATTTTGTGGCACCGGATCTTAGCTTCTTTACTGCTTTGAACGTACTTACGATATGATCTAGGCAGCTTATGCATAATTAAATAGCCTAGTTATACAATTTCATCTCATTGTCAAAAAAACTTAAGAAGGATAAATTTAAACAGCTCTTACTAATTAAGTTTTTTGACAATGAGATGAAATTTATCCTTCATAAGTAGTAACCGAAACTTACAAAACTAAAATATAGCCAACTGACAGTTGGAAGAGCAATGAACGCAAGGAAACTGAAAAAAATCGTGTCTTGTTTTTTAAAAACCTTCAACTTACGAATTTTTGAAGAAAAAAAAATAGATAGCCTTAAAGCTCTCTGAATTTGTAGAACTATTTATGATGGACACTTTTCGTAAAAATTAACCCAATTTGAGAAAACTGGATCAATAGGTAAATTTAATATTTCGCTAGGAAATCTGATAACTAATTTCCATTTTCGAAATAAGAAGTAGATCACGTTTTTCGTGACATTTTCACTTTTGCCGGTCGATAGTCGAGATTTCCTTCCTTTGAACAATAGAAATGCATTGAAACTTAAAAAAATCACAAGTTAAACCGCGAAAAATCAAAATTAAGCGTATACAAACTTTAAGACTTTTTCCTGAAAAAAAATCATCAAGACCTATTTAACGTTAGATACTACGTTCATTACTCTTAAAAAAGCAATTATCTAAAGCAGCTGGTATTTCAGCTTTTAAAATTCAACCTAGATTATCGTCTAAATTTAGTACATATGCTGATTGCTGAAAAAAGACACATTTAAAAAAGTCACGATCGGGGTTCGAACCTGGACGTAGATGTTGACGGCGTCATGCCTGCTTTCGTGTGATTGTTCGACGAGGAAGTATTCGATATCTGGTCCACACTCTTATGCAATCGTTTGATTCTTCTCTTCAACCTCACTAATTCCCTCTTCTCCAAATTAGTTCCTGGCTTCTGTTCCCTACACGAGATAGATCGACCCACATTTGGGAACTTCTGTTGCTGGATCTGTTCAACAGACAAAACACCTGCTTACAATTTCAAAGATAAGCACATGTGGCGCAAATTGTTTCGGAATTAATGGGTAAAATATAGCTCGATAAAGTGCACGTGACTCAAAGAACCGAATCGCGATTGTACCATGACCCAATATTACTATCACTCGAGCTTTCCTTTCAATATTTTACTATCATATTGTCATTTTTAATTCTACCAACTTTGAGCTTTGGAGCTATTTTATTGCACCATTCAATTGCCGCTGCAGTCAAGTGGTAAACCTTCGCACTTAGCCTAGAGGGAACGTCGTCGCTTTGGCATCGTTAAGCCGGGGTTCGAATTCCGGCCGGACCTTGTTTTTTTCGGAAGGTATAAACATGAATTTTTTTCCGCTTAAAATTGAATAGTCGGACTTTCAATTATCTGCTGAAGTTTTCGGGTGGTACTTTTTAGTGGAATCATTTTTTTCGGCTCAACTGGTTTCTGCTCAAGTAAGTAAGAAAACTTGTTCAAGGAAAAAAGACTAGTTCCCGATAACAAAACATTTGCTTTCGCAAGTTTAATAAGTAACTAGTTCAATCTGACTCCAATCAACGCTTTGAACTTTGATGTAATGCGCTAAAGTGTTCAAAGTGTTTCGAAAAAAAACTTGACAAGACAGAACCCACTGTTGAAGGATAAACAACCAATGAAATAAAAGAATGTTCACCATTGAATTTTTTCAACTCAAATCATCATTGAATGTACGTTCATCATTGAATGTACCCAAAAATTACATCCATATTAGCTGGACAAAAACAATATGGAAATTTTTTAAAAGAAAACAAACAATTAAAAGATGAAGAACTAGAAAAACTAAACGAGATATGGAAAATAGCTAAAAAGTTTTAAGATGACTTTTTAAATTAACTAGCAAGCTCGTTTCCAGTAGATAATCAGCACGCAAACAAAATAGTTGTTCTGATCAAGCTATTCAAGCAAAGAAACTTCAAACAATTTCAAGTTAAGCCATTTCTTAAACCGGTTTAAAAATTTTAGTTTCATAGGACAAATCGGTTAAATGGTAAATTTTTCAGAGCAAGCTTATCCAGCTACGAAACTTTGAAGATTTCAAGTTAAATTCATGAAGGCGAAAAATTCATGTTTTTCTAAGCAAGCTATGAAACTTTGAAATAAATTTCATGTTATTTCATAGACTGAATCGGTTCGCCTTAAGTTCAAGTTTTCTAAGCAAGCTATTCTAGCTATTTATCTTAAGAACGAAGCAAATCGGATGGCAAAAATTTCAACTTTCTCTATGGTAGCCAATCAAGCTATGAAACTTTGAAACATTTCTAAATACTTCATAGCGCTGATCGATCCGCGAAAAATCTAATTTTTCTCAAGCAAACCATTCAAGCTATGAAACTTTGAAATAATTCAAGCTTTTTCAGACCACAACATTTCGCCCAAACTGTAGTTTTTCTAAGTAAGCTATTCAAGCTATGAAACTTTAAAATACTTCAAGCCGTTTCTTAGACCGAATGTTTTTATGCAGTTTAAAGTTTTTGTTTGCAAGCTTTTCAAGCAAACAAACTTTGAACAACTTCAGGTTGTTTAATAGAGCGAATCAGTTGGCAAAACATAAAATATTCTAGATAAGCTATTCAAATTATGAAACTTTTATTTATTCTAAGCATGGCGGTTGCTGTTTTTAGTTGATTAGTTTCAGACTGAAATGAACCTGTAAACACATTTTTTCAGGAAAAAAGTGGGCAGTGACTGCCTAGCATTGAAGCTGAATTGAGTTCAACTAGTTTAAAGAGTTCTGTGCTTTGTTCAAAAAGAATTCTAGAATATTCCAGAATTTAAAATGATTTAAGTTCTTATAGAAACTCAGCCACTTAAACATTGAGCTCTATGGTTGCCCTGAATGATTCTTTAAAGTTCTATCCAAGCTTCCTTAAACATTGTGCTCGTTAGAGAAGTTAAAACAATGCTTCCATAGGTCATAAAGACTTTCATTCAACATAAAAGATAACTCCTTCAAAAGTTGAAAATTTTATATTTTTTTCATTGCAATTCAAGCTTGCTGAACTGCAGCCTATCAGTTAAAACTGTTATCGACCTTTGAACCAATGACTCTCTGGGAATCGAACTCCTGGCCTTTGTATCTCCAATCAGCACGTTACCTCGACACTAACAACGTAGCTTTCTGAAATCTATTGGGGTTTTATTATAGAAGGTCAGTTTCTGACGATTTGTTTCAAATTATTTGATGGAATAAGTCTAGTTCCCGATTACAAGTAATAAAAAGTCCAAATTAGAGTTGGCAATGAGATTAAGACATTTATCCACAAAGAAAATGACCAACATAGCTGTTCAGCTCTTCAGAGAACCGCTGTTGTGCCCCTAGCTGAGATATACATGCACTTTCTTCGCTATTTTTCTGGGCTGGGTTATATTATCTCACCCTCAAGGAACGAACACGGATCATACATAGTGGACCTCGAATACCTGACCTTTCTATTAAGAGGCGGAGACCTAACTACTTCAACACCGCTCCACTGCCGTTTTCATTGAAAAAAATTGACCGGTATGAAAAGCTTCGCTACAATATATTTTTTTAGTTCCGGGGACAAAAAATGCCGAACACACGAAGTAAATTTTTGTTCAGAGTCATAAAGAAACTGAAAATATCAACAAGACTGCTCGTATCAGGGCGAAGCCCTGAATCTTCCGACTGCCTTTTAAGGTTTATTGAGCAGCAGTAATACATAAAAAAAGTAAATGAAATGAAATGAAATTTTTTTCTAAAATTTGAAATTTTTTATGAAAATCATCCCCCCACACGCCATATAAAGTACAAAAAGATAAATTTCGTTCCTTGTAACAAATCAATTATGGCAAATAAGCTTCGTTCAACCAATTTGGAACGATTTATGAGACGGATTAAATCTCCGCTTACGCGTTAATAGCGCGAATTATATTGCGCGTTAATTGTCCCAAATTGGTCAAAATGGCAATCTTTAAACCCTCATAACTTTACGAAAAATGATCACAGGTGGAATATCTTTTCAAATTTGAGCTCAAGACAACAATACCTTTTGAATGATATAAAAAAATTCGGTCAAAAATGGCTAGTTAAAAAGTCGAAATTTGTCTGAAGAAAAAAAACCCACCCCGAGCACAAATATTCCGTTACTTTCGTATCGAAAGTCGGAACAATAATAACTAATTTCCTGGAAAATTTGAATTTAATTGAATCTTGATCTCCTATTCCCTCAATAATATTGAGTTTTCATACAGTTGTGGAACATGGCTCTCGATACTTTTTTATTTAACCTTAAGCGCGGTCAATTTTTCCTTCTAGAATAATCTGTTTCGTGACGTGTTCAGTCCGAGCGAAGGTAGTCCGACGCAAGCTGGATTCACTACAAATCTCCACATATATTACAATAAATCGATATCTATCAATACTTACGAAAATATTTCAATCACCGACCATAATTGGACTGTGAGTAACGCAAACAGATAAATACAAAAAAAAACGAAAGTGCTATTCACAATCACAATTCGCAGTTTAATTTTTCTTTCACTATGATTAATTTAGTCGAACTTTCACCCAGTTTTTCATAAATCGGATTGCAATACTGGCCCATGATTTGTCAACATACAGTGAAAACCAAATAGTAAAAACAAACTGTTCAATTAAACGCGATAAGAGATCTGACCGCACGTTTAACAAAACTCAATTAAAATCAGCAGCAAATTTTATATCATTAAGTCAACAGCAGAAACCAAAAATAAAGTAAATATAACAATTGAATGGTTAAAATTTAGTAACGCATATGAAATTTCGAGAACAGCTTCAATTAACTGACGCAGCTGATTATCGATTATATATTTTCTTGTGAATTCGCTACAGACAAAACAATTCAGCAAAACCTCAGGATTCGAACTAAACTAATAAGTTTGATTGCGAAAAACATTCCCAGACAAAATGTTTAGTTATATATAAAAAGTAGCAAAAAGTTGGAACAGACAGAAATAATTTTAAAAAACCATGTGCCAACTTCGAGCATTTTTTGCATATCAACTCATGTTTTAAGGTGACCTTGAGTCATAATTTGTCTGAAAAATTAGCTTTTGCATTAGCTTTTCTGAAATAGGTCATTGGCTAATTAAAAAGAGCAATTGTTACATTAAGGCAGATTTTTGCGAGCAATTTTGTTTTTCAGACAACCTTGAGATCACAAATTTGAACTGAAAAATTAGGTTTTGCATGCAAAATTTTTTCAAATGGGTCAATTGCTCTTTTCAATTATATTTGTCTGTCCAATTTTTTTGCTATAATTAGTAGCAAAAAGTTCGGACAGACAGAATTAATTAAAATGAGCAATCAGTGCTTTTCGACGCTTTTTTGCATGCAAAATCTGAAGCCCAGCAACCTTGAATTTTTTGTCAGACCAAATTCAAAATGCGAGATTGTCGATTATTCGATGATTATGCTAGCCTTATTTTTAAATAATGCGATGAACATCCAGATTTTACTATGGAACAGTTAGCAAAATTAGGTAAAAAATCGAAATCTAGAGTTATTTTCAACTGCAAAAAAAAACAGATTAGGCCGCGCAAAAAAATTAAACGGAAACGGAAGTTACGATGATCATATTATTCAATATTTGGAAACTAATCGCAGAAAAACATTAGCCACCCTGAGCAATAATTTTCCTGTTTCAAGGTTTTTTTATTCGACGCTTCGGATGCAATTGGCCGCCGATGTTATAGGTTTTGAGCGAAACTCTGCTTTATGAACTTTCGACGTTATGTTTATTTCAGTTTTAATTTCCGATGATTTCTAGACAGTTGCTCTTTTTAATTAATTCTGTCTGTCCGAACTTTATGCAACTCTCTATACTAATTATAGAGATGTGCAAAAAATTGGAGCAGACTAAAGAGCAGACTAAATTAATTAAAAAGAGCATTTGACCTATTTTTCTACATGCAAAAGCTAATTTTTCAGACAACTG